CACACACACACACACACACACACACACACACACACTTTTTAAAGCAGGTTGCCAAGCTGGGGCTCTGAAGGTTGTGGGAAGCTGACTGTATAATCCAAGCTCATGAAACCAAAACAATCTAATTTCCTTTATTGCAGGAAAGGTATAAAATTGGATCACTGCAAGTTTCCTTAAAATGTTTCCCTTCCTGTTCTGATCTGCAATTTCCATAGTCCCAGATCACTGGCCATACTGGCTGTGCCTGATGTGACCTATAGTCCATAACGACTGAAGGGCACCAAATACAAGGTCTTGTCCAGTCTGTGCTTTGCTTCCACCAACATACATGCCCAGCATTCACACACTCCTATGCTGGGAAGCAATCTGAATTGGAAGAAAGTTCAGTGAGAAGAAACGCCTGAACACAGAAGAAAAGACGTAAGGGATTGGGTAGAATATATGCAATAACTATAGTAAACATATGGTTAATATGAGTAACTTCAGATAAAGCATTTTGGATTTCAGGGGGTGCTTCCTCTGTTAACACCTTTGAAATGATTGGGAATGCAGACAGCATCTCTCCAGTGAAGAAAATCTGTGCAATGTCCCCAAAAGCTAAGAGATGCTTCCCCAAGCCCCCTGGAAGTCTGCAGTTCTAACTGACCACATTAGATAATTTGGTAGGCTCCATACATGCAGTTCTGAAAAGTGGAAAATTCATCCACTTGAGACCCAAACACCAGGTAACCCAACTGCGCATATGCAAAGAAGATGATAAAGAACATGATGGCAAATCCAATGATGTCCTTGGCACAGCGAGACAGGGTGGAGGACAGTTGAGTCATGGTCTTGTTAAAGCTTATGAACTTAAATATCTGAAAGAGAACAGAAAGAAGTTACATTACAAATAATGGGCCAAAACCAAGGCTAAAGAGAACCATCCTAGGGGCCTCCTTAAAGCAACCTTCACAGACTCCTCAGGAAATTAATGGTGATATTACCGGTATGCAAATATTCTGTTCAGATGAAGTAGAAATGTGGCTACATCTCTGTGATGCCTCATTTGTTTAGGGCAAAGAAGGCCTCAGAATGAGGTTAATTCTTTCTACTTTTTGCCTAGATGTTGTACTCCTTAGCCCACACCAGCGAGCTCTACTCTAGTGAAGATTAGAGTACAAGAAAGCAAATTGAGAGAAGAAAATAAGCACCAACAAGCTAAGAAAGGGCAAGAGGATTTGCAGCATATCTGGAACTGCAGACTAACAAAACACACCCACAGTTGTGAGAAGCCGAATGCCTTCTTTGTACTTAACTGGGCCAAAGGGCTGAAGGAGACCCACCTTGCTCTGCCCCCAAGCCAAGGGATGAGGCAGAGCCCTCTTCCAGTCCAGGGTAGTTAAAAATACAGACTAGACTGGTGTCTACTCGGTGTCTACTCCATTTATTGACTGACTGACTAATTGACTGACTGACTGACTGACTAACTGACTGATATGCCCCCTTTGTCCCCATGGGGACCCGAGGCGGCTCACAACCATTAAAACTGTACAATAATAACAAGTAAAACACTATACAAAATTACAAACAATTAAACACTTATTAAGAGAAACACACTTTGAAAAATATTTAGAATTATCTAAATTTCATAAATGCAGCATTCACTAAACCCACACCTATTGTTTAAAAGCCTGCTTGAAAAGGAAGGTTCCTGCCCCACAGAAGGACAAAGAGGGAGGGGGGCCAGTCTAGCATCTCAGGGCCTGGCTTTCCAAATCCTGGGAGCAGCCACTGAGTTTGCTGTCTCTCACGTCCTCAACAAACATACTGTCCTTCTCTGATTCTCTCAAAAACCTGATTTAGAGCCATGGGGCACCCTATTGGTTTCACAACAATGAGAAGGGGTGAGATGGGGCTTATCTCTCAGTCAATTCCCTTGCACAGCACTCCCCTGCACCACAGCTCAAGAAGGGAAATCTTACAGTCCCCCTAACCAACCCACATGCCATGACTCCAATATAGGCACCTACGCTTACTTTAGAGTAAAAAGAAACAAACACAAAGCTTGTAGCTGCTACCTGAGCCTTTCAAATATGCCCAGAGAGATACAAAAAGAAAATACGGTTAGTACAGTTAATAATACCGTATGAGCAACAGTACCTTAATCCATGCAAAAAAGACATTCACTGAAATCATATTATTGTAACGAGTCTGCCAAAATCCAAGAAAATAAAAATCAGGATAAGCATCTGAATTGGAGAGCAAATTTTCCATCAGCCTGGATACTTCAACAGTTCGATAAACATTGAAGATAATAGCAAAAACCGATAACTGAACAGGAAAGAAAAGAAGAGAGTATGTAAAGCTGTAACCTGATTCTTTTTTTAACATGTTCTCTAAACCTTTGTAAGTCTGTTCAGGCAGGTACACTATTCACACCTACAAGCCATGCAGATACTGAAATATTAAGATGCAGACAGAGTTTTGGAACCAAGAGTGATTTTATTTTATTTTTTGGGACGTGGTGGCGCTGTGGGCTAAACCACAGAAGCCTGTGCTGCAGGGTCAGAAGACCAGCAGTCGTAAGATCAAATCCACGCAACAGAGTGAGCTCCCGTCGCTTTGTCCCAGCTTCTCGCCAACCTAGCAGTTCGAAAGCATGTAAATGCGAGTAGATAAATAGGTACCACCTCGGTGGGAAGGTAAAATGGCATTCCCTAGTCACGCTGGCCACGTGACTACGGAAAACTGTCTTTGGACAGGCACTCACTCTACGGCTTGAAAAGCAGGATGAGCACCGCCTACTAACCTCGGACACGACTGGACTGAAAATGTCAAGGGGAACCCTATTATCGGTGTTGTTCTTCAACACTAGCTATTACGTCAGAATCCATCGGAGAAATTATGCTAAACTGCTATCAAAACAATTACAGGCTTGCGGTGTCCCTAAAAACATCATATTTTACCATATGGTAACAGAAAGAAAGGAAGAAAATGGCAACTGTCCAGAGTCCACAAGCATTACTTCAGTGCAAATCAGAGATACAAAATGATTCCCAGTACACCCACTGCAAATCACTTGGAACCTGACTGGCATTTGGTCATACTGAACACAAGCCTGGCTTCTAAGAGTTCTGGTTCGAACATTTCCAGATGACGGGCTCCTCACATTAGCAATCAGAAGCAACTACGAAACCATTCTTTTTCTTCCCCTTCAGATTTTCAGTCCAAAGGACAAAGATTTAAGAAATGAGGGAAGAACAAGGGAGGTTTAAAAATGGAGGATATTTGTTGTCTGAATCCTAATGAGGCTCTTCCCCCCCCCCCCCGAAGCACCTGAAGCTTCCACAAAATTCAGCAAAAAGACAGGATTAAGGCATGATAAAAAGCCTTCTTTGGCAATACTCTTATTTTAACCTGCTTATCAGAACAGAACTAAAATGAGCAAAAAATGAAGCTTACAAAATGGCCTCCACATTGCAATCCTGCATTGCATTTCTGTGAGCCATGGGGTGTCCCCCCCCCCCCCGAAGCACCTGAAGCTTCCACAAAATTCAGCAAAAAGACAGGATTAAGGCATGATAAAAAGCCTTCTTTGGCAATACTCTTATTTTAACCTGCTTATCAGAACAGAACTAAAATGAGCAAAAAATGAAGCTTACAAAATGGCCTCCACATTGCAATCCTGCATTGCATTTCTGTGAGCCATGGGGTGAACATAGGGAGGCCCAGAGCTGTAGGCAGCTTTCCCAGAATCCCGACCCCTCCTGATTTTGAAAACCAGTTCAGAAGGGGACAAGAGAAGTAATTCTGCCATGTTTTGGGCCCCGGAAATATTCTTTCTCTTGTACCTTTTATAAAAAAAGTTATTTGGTTTTAGTAATGCTTTTACCAAACATTTTAAATATGTTATTAATAATTTTTATATATTTGAATAATTTACTGTTTTTAGCTTTTAATATTAAATAAGCCACTTTGGGAACATTTTTAGGAGAAAGGCAAGGTATGAATGAATGAATGAATGAATGAATGAATGAATGAATGAATGAATGAATGAATGAATGAATGAATGAATGAATGAATGGTGTGAAGGGACTTCTGTGAAAAAGGCTTTTGCCTATACAAAATATTTTAGGGGAGGTCACCTCCCTGATCACTATACAAAGTATCAATATATCCTTCAGAAACAAACATTTGCCCACATCCAGAATATTGTCACCAGTGGCATAAAAAATAAAATTTCCTGCCTTCCCCCAAGATGTTATCCATTGTAGCAGCAAATATATTTAGTATTTGTTATTTATATTATGTGCAGCCTGTAGCTATTAAACAGAAAATTTAGGAGGAGCTTTAAGAACTCACAATTAGATAAAAGAAATGGAAGACTTATGTTTATCGCTTTTGGAAATCTATGCAGGGATAGTGCAAGAAAAAGATAACTTAGTTTCTCTTTTACTATCCTAAATTTGGTTACTGAAACCCCTAATTCTGGTTTCTAAGCATGGGAGTATGATGATAGCCATCATGGAGGAGATTTAATTCTCCCTAACAAAGGAGAACAACATCTGCTCTTTCAAGATGTCTGAACGCACCTGTTTGTTTGTTTGTTTGTTTGTTTGTCTGTCTGTCCATCTACCGAATCACATACCCCCCCATCTCCGTTGGTTCAGAACCACATGTTAGATGTGCTGGTGCGTTTACTTACAGGAATCCTTTCTCTTTTGTACTGGGATCATATGTAAATGCCGATGTAAACACACTCTGTTTTCCATCTGCTTTTTTAATGGATCATATGACTTCATGATTAGATTCTCTAAAGAAGTCATTCTCAAGATGGGCCATATAGCCCCTTGAGGCCCCCCGGCACATTTGAAGGGGGGCACAGACTTAAAAATACGAGAAGAGGCTTTTCTATTCATCTGTTAATGTTGTACCCTTGTCTGACAGAGCCTGGAACTCCAAAAAGGGCTATGGCAAAAAAAAAAAAGTTGAGAATGGCTGCTCTAGAGCAGGGCTCCCCAACTTTTACCCAACTGTGGACTGGTTGAGGGGGGTGGGGTCTGTGCATGGGCAGGTGCTCATGGGGGCTAGAGGCACGATTTTGTGTGGTTGCGGGGGTGCTGAGTGCATTCGTGCGCATGTGTGAAGGGCAAGTTCACGGTAGGTGGGGCACACTCGTGGGGGTGGGGCATGCTCGCATGCATGCAGGGGGCAGGGTGCTCACTTGCAGTGCAGGGCGCGGTCGCACGCATGTGCAGGGAGTGCATGCCGGGGGGCAGTAGATGTCTCCGCAGCCCAGTCCTGCCAGGGCCATGGCCCTCTACCTGGCCGCAGACCGGGGATTGGGGACCCCTGCTCTAGAAGAACTCGTAGCAAAGAGAAGCAAAGGGAAATAGTATCTACTCGTCTTTTACATATGTTTTCTACAACTTTGCTGCTTTATCTTTTTGCTTGATGAAGATATCATCATCATCTTAGAACTGCAGAGCTGAGGAAGTGAACCCAGCTCTGCAACCGGATACCTAGCCACTGAGCTATCCATATCTTGGATCTGATCTTTTCTTACCAGTTCTTCACAAAACAATCTGTCTGTAATTTTTTTCACAGAAACAAAAGCTTCAAGCTCAGCCCCATAGGTTCTGATTCTTAGAGGAAGGAAACGAACAAGTATCATTTGTTTATATTATTTAACTTTACTGAGTGTGGATTCTTCTTCCATTCTGATTCCTTGCTCTCTGCCTATAATGCTGGGTATACCATATGCAAATTATCTAATTAGCATGTGCAAAAATGTACTGTGGTCCAAAATTATTTTGAAAAAAACAAACATATATGGATTACACTGAGACTTACCAGAAGCAGTAACATATCCAACCAGTTCCAGGCATCTTTAAAATAGTCCTTTTTCAACCTCATCATTTTTAAAGCTTCTTGAATTATGAAAGTGATGATGAAAAGGCAAAAGATGACTTCGCAAGAGGCAAGGAAATAATCGTAATAGGAGACATATCTGAGAAGCTTTACAGAGTGGAACTGCCAGGAAGGGATTACACCACCTGTTGCAGGAAATTCCACCACCAGCCTGTGGAATGGAAGTAAACAATGATGCCATTGGTATATCTGATAAAAGGCTCCTACTAAATCTTTGCTGCTAAACAAAGCCCATAAACGGCTGGACACAGGGCATAAATAAAGCTTTCCTACTAAAATCCAGAAAGTCTTTGCACTGTTAATAATAATCATGATTACGGTATATATTGTCAAGCTGATTTCAGTTTATTACGTTTTATAGCGACAAGGACTCAGCAGGATGGCTTAATTGGAAATCATCTGACTTTCTGAAATTAACAAGAGCTGCTGTTGCTGTACAGCTTTTGTTCAATTAAGATTAATACTACACATTAAATTTATGCCACAATCCAGTACAAAAATAAGGGTCCTTACTTCCGAGTGAGAATATACAGGTTTGCACTGTTTGTGTGTGAAAAAGTGAGCAGAAGCTAAATAGTGGTGAACACAAGAGCCCTGCTGGATCAAACCAAAGGTCTCTCCAGCCCAACATGTTATTTTCATAGTGGCCAACCAAATGTTATGGGAAGCTTACAAGCAGGACAGGAGTGCACGATTTCATGATTACTGGCCATTATATTTAGCAGGCATTGATAGCGTTATCATCCATGAATTTATTTTAAAGCCTCCCAACTGGTAGCAAATATCCAGTGTGTTTTAGTGGGTAGAGTAATGGACTTGGACTCAGGAGGCCTGGGTCTGAATCCCTGTTCTGCCATGGAAGCTCACTGGGAAAGTGGAACCGGTGACACTACTCCATAAATATCTCACGCCCCTCAGAAGCCGTATTAGGGTCACTATAAGCTGGTTCTGACTAGAGATGGGCACAAACCACCAAAATGGTGGTTCCTCTTACTTTGTATGGATTTTCAGATGCTTTACTGACAAACCCACAAATTGGTTTGTTGGTGCTGAGCTCCCCCTGCCCCCACAGACTGCCCCTTCCCACTGCCCCCATTGCCTCCCTATCTTGTGCCTGTCCACCTCCACCGCTGTTTGATGCTACTGCCTCCCGTGCTGCCTCCATCGCCCCGCCTCTGCCTGTGCCATGCAGTGGGCCGTAGGCAGACAGGGCAGGCTAGGCTGCAAAAAGGGAATCCAGCCGTTGTTTGCAAAGGGGCGGGGGAATAGGAGGGCCAGGGGTAGGCTGGGGGAATGAACAAACCAGGAGGTTTGTAAATCACCCTGAAATTCGTTGCTTTGGGTAAGTTTGGGTTCTCCAATTTGGACGAACCTGAACTGATCTGAAGGAAATAATTGGCAGTTTTTCATGAATTTCCTGATTCATTTTGGGCTTCATGCTCATCTCGAGTTCTGACATGAAGGCACATAACGACTTGATAGCAGTCATCACTACATCTTCCTTTTGTTTGTAACTCTAGGAATACTTCCACTCTAGATGTTTTTCATTAGCCATTTATTCTATGGTTTATGGCTATTTCTAGTGATTTGCCTTTGCAGGATTAAAGGTCATACTACATAACATTTATTTTCAAACGGTTAATGCTGTTTATCAATAGTGGCTCTGTTCTTGTTGCTCTTATTGATAAGAATAAATCTGAATGCTTTTACCAGTGAAATAAAAACCCAGATAAAATCACTAACAGAACAGACAAGAAACAAAGTTGTATAACAGAGAATAAAAAGAGTAGAATCAACATGAATGGCATATTGATAAAGGGTGCCATGAAAAGTTAGGAGATGAGAGCCAAGAGCAGAAGATGATTCAGAGGACTGACCGGAAGGAAGTCTTGTGTGGATACTTGGGCCAGGGGTGGAGATGTGGGCTAGGAAAAGAAGGATTAATTGGAGAGGGTGGAGCCAGGCATGAAGTCAAAGGTCAGGTGGTATAAGAAACAAAGCTCCAGCATGGACACAGTAAGGACAACAAGAGCAAGTCAAGAGCACATGGACTGCGAAGCAGAAGAGATTACAAGGGAGTAAGAAGGCATGCAGTGCAGTTTGGAAAAGTGAGACGAAGGGGTAAGTACTGGATGGAGGCCAGTCAGTGTCCAAAGGTCAAAATCTAATGTTCAAGAGAAAGCCAAGAAAGGGCAGAAATGGGACTTTGTAGGACAGAGAGAAGAGGAAAAGATCCCTGGTGAAGGAGATAAGGAAATGGGGTAATGCACACATAATCCTGGAAACACTATGCATCTAGGGAGCCTGGAAGCATCTATAGGGGTTAAGAGGGAATTAAATTGCAGCTTGCAACTATGTCTCCCATGAATGTATTTATTAATTAATTTATTTGGCTTTTATACCGCCCATTTAGACGAACTACTCTGGGTGGTTTACAGTCCAAAAAAGGCAGTAAAATTAAATGCAAGCTTATCTAAGGAACATGAATTTCAAAACAGAATACTTGATTAAAGCCAACCTACTCTACATAGACAATAGTAATATAGAATCTCAATAAAGACAATTACTGCTTTGAAATGTCATATGGGCAGGACCTTTTCATGGGTGCTTATGAAATTGAGTCTGTCACACAAGGCCCAAGTAGATAGGTACCAGAATAAATTAGTTCTGAAAGTGTATGGCCTACCTCACAATGCAGAAAAGGTTTACATTGGCATTATACATTGAAAAATCAATGAAGACAATCCTTGTTCCTCTTGTGATCCAGCTATGGTCCTTGAGAAATTTCAGCTTTTCTAAGCTTTTTTCCTTTGACTTCGGCAAAGTGAACATAAATCCTCCAGTACTATATAGACCAATAAGGCCCCAGTGCCATGGAGCCAGTGTATTAGAAGTGGAATAATGCCACCTGTTCGAAAAAAGAGGATGGATCACTTAATTTCACAGAAAACATTCACTGGTGTCCTCTGAATGCTTTATTCAGTTTCTCCTGCTCTCTAATGATGTTTCAGAAGAGAAGTAGTAGATCCAGCCTTGCACACATGTACAGTTGTTTGCTTTGGAAGCACAATTGGCAGTTGCTTCAGTGGAAGCTTTCATTCTTTAAAATGAAGATGGTGGGGAGGGGGTGGTCCAGTCTCCCACCAGGGTTCTGATCCTGATCATCCCCCTCATGGTTTTTATTTACTTTTAAAAGACACTGATATAAAATGCATGAATTGCATCTCCTCTGTTTTGATTCCACTTTGAAAGATAGTCTGAATTTTTCTTAGTGTGCCAAGACAACCTGAGGAATGGAAGACCCATGTATGTGCCCTGTATCAGCTCCCATAACATGACCAAGATGGGGTTGCTGAATGAAGTTTGATGTGATGTATATCGACCGTATTGGCCTATTGTACCATCCTTGCATGTGCTTATGCACATAGGGTACAGGAAGGAGAAAGAAGGAAGCAGTGTTATACTGAACTGTGGAGAGAGCCCTCAGAGCACAAATACTGCATTACTGGCATACGAGAAAGGATAATACCACATAAATGTGATTAACACATATTTCTTTTTTCGATCTGTATGCACATGACAAATTACAAATGTGCCAAAATAACTTCTCAAATGATTGTATCAAACAATCTTTAGGAAATAATTTTAAAACTTAAACATATATAATTAAAATCTTCTAAATGTATTAAATTACAACATAATTTCAGAATCAAGACTAACAAGGATGTGAAACGGCTGTTCAGATTATGTCACATCTTAGATTTTTCAATTCCTAGTTGCCATCGTTTCCTGATTCAGATGTAAAAGACAACCATGGCTAATTAACCTTATGTGTCTTCAATAACTGGTGAGCGATGAAGGAAGGGACAGTGTGGCAATAAGACTCATGTTCATCTTGTTTAGACCAGGCCAATATTGGGCTTCTCTGTTATTGTACGAAATGCTATAGGTACAATCTGTAGGATGACACCACTTGAGTCACTCAACTATTTTATACATTTGATTGATTTAGATAGTACAAATATAATCATGAGATGTCCTAATGTTTCTCACACACTTAAATTCAACTATTAATCTAATGCTGCAACAATATGTTCAATAGGTGTTGAGATACAAAGGGAAAAGACAAATACTTACGCAGAGGTATTCTTAAGGCCAAAGCTTTCTTTGTCCTCATGTTCAAAACGGTACTGACCATAGCACAATTTCAGAAAGGCCCGAAAAGAGGGATAGATGGAACATGTGTTGTTACGGATTTTCAGTTGTCGCAGCTGAGGTCGTCCCAACAGTAAATTCTCATAGTAGATGTGGCTACTGTTTTTATAGCTGGATGTGGAATTATCATTGTACCATGTGTTCCAAAAAAGGCCATTCAGAAGTGGTCCCTCTAGAAACTGCATTACATAAAATAAGCAGAAATGAATGCCGTATTTAATAAAACCAACTACCTTTTATTTGGCATCTGAAATGATTTTACATTTGGTGGCTAGAGTTGGAAACCAACCAGGTACAAGGGCCTTGTTGGTTTCTTTTTTGTTTCTTTATTTTGCTTTCTATATCTTATCTAGCATTTGGTAACAAAAATCTCACTTTTATTGGCATCACAAATTCCATTTTCAGAGCAATCCTGCACATGTCTGCTCAGTAACTCTTATTGGCTGAAAACCAGTAATAAGTTGCAACTACAGTAAAGTAGGCCTACTAAATTAGTGGATATTCAGTAAGTTGACATGTCTGTAGGTTCAATTATCTAAATGAGTCTACTCTAGTTGTGACTTACTACTGGATTCCAGTCACTGGGTTCTACAGGCATTGGCATAGGCAAGTGTGTACAGAATTGCAACCTGAGGAACACTGATCATTGCCCCAAAGTCATACAATTGCAGTTTCTTCCTTTCTTGAATTGCTCATGTGCATATGATAACAGGAAAGTTCTTTGCATGCAGAGTTTTGTATGTGAAGAACAGTCTCGCTCTTCATATGCAATGGAGCGGCTGGCTTGGGGTCAAAACCTTTTTGTTATCTGTAAAAAACTTCAAGCTGTGACAGTGCAGTATCTGGAGTTTCATCTTTCTTCCTAGAGATCAGTGCTGCCAAAATAATCTCAGTACCAATTTAAGTGTGATGGCCCACAAATGAAGACGGCTTACAAACACTTCATAATGGGGCAGCTGTCTCCAAAGTTTGAACACATTAACTTCTAGTTAATCCAATTACACATAGCATCTTCCCTACAAGGTGTACTTGATTATAGTACTGCAGTACTGGTGCAGTGGTTAAATCGCTGTACTGCAACTAAAACTGTGCTCACGACCTGGGGTTCAAATCCCAGGTAGCTGGCTCAAGGTTGACTCAGCCTTCTATCCTTCCGAGGTCGGTAAAATGAGTATCCAGCTTGCTGGAGGGGGGGGCAATGTGTAGCCTGCATAAATAAATTGTAAACCGCCCAGAGAGAGCTTGACGCACTATAAGGCAGTACATAAGCAGCACGCTTTGCTTTTGCTTTGCTTTACTGTATAGCTCAGTGGTTTAGGCATCTAGCTGTGGAATCGGAGGTTCAGAGCTCAATTCCCCACTGTGCCTTCTTGATAGGGGCTGGATTCAATGATCCATAGGGTCCCTTCCCTAATTAGAAGATGCTGCTGATTTGCTGTTGTTGTTATCATCATCATGTGCCTTCCAATTCATGGCAAACCTAATAGGGTTTTCAAGGTATGTGAGTTGTTCAAGGAGCCAAACACACCACTTTAATTTTCCATGGCCAATAGGAATTTGAACTCAGTTCTTTGGGGTCCTAGTCTATTACTCCTTTCACTATATGATACTGGTTCTCATCTTGAGTATTTGATTGCTACTTACTAAGGTAGGGCACATGAGGCACTTAAAGAACTTACTGTATAAACCTTAAGTATTATGAAGCAGCTGTCTGGATAGCTCAATGGTTTAGGTACCTGGCTGTGAAGCCAGAGGTTGGGAATTGGATTCCACACTGTGCCTCCTGTGAGCAGACCCAGGCTGTGTGGCCTTCGCCAAGCTCTACAGTCCCAGGGCGCCCCCCAGAAGAAGGGAATGATAAACCATTTCTCAGTAATGTCTACCAAGGAAACCCTGAAAGGGTCACCATAAGTCAGAATTAACTTGACAGCACGTAATTATTATTATGAAGCTAATTATGCCTGTGCCACAGTAAAATGTGGTTGTTGTTCTTGTTATGTGCTGTGAAATCGCCATTTTGGAACCGCCGATCAGCTGTTTTAAAATCATTGCTATGCGATGATCGGTAAGCGAAGCGATTTTTTCCCATTTAAAACATCGCAATGCGATCGCAAAAACGATCCCAAATTCTTCATCGCTATGAGATTCTGTCGTTAACCGGGGCGCCCGTTAAGCGAGGCACCACTGTAAATAGGCCACATAAGCATTGCTACCTGATAATCAAAAGGCTAAAATGGTTTTACCCCTTCTAGTAATCTAGGCAGACTCTTCAGGGTTTCAAACCCACCTTTTTATCTTTAAAGAACAATTAGAAACAGCCTAGTGAAATTGGGTCACCGAAACAAAATCTACAGGAACACATTCCTGTGCACGGATGTAGGTTTATATGTACACTAGATGTGAACAAGGTACATAAAATGATTTTACACACAGACTAAACCCCTTTTCAACACTGGAAGAGTGAGAAGCAAGGGGAGAAAGCTGACAATAGACAACACCATCTGTTCAGCAACATTTACTCATGTAAACAGCAGTGATATGCATAAAAGTGTCTGATATGTGAACATTATAATACAAGAGATAAATATGTCTTTTGTGAAACAAACGAAGCACTGGACGGTTATCAACAAAAGGACACTTTTTAGATATGCTGCTTGAAGAAAATAATGAATTCTCTGGTTTGTAGAAGTGGCCAAATTATGCATCACCACAATGTTAAATGACAATGACAATGTTAAATGTGCCTTCCTCTTAGGTCCTAAAGCAGTAAAATACAAAATAAAAACTTTACCTGCCAAAAGTGAACAATGGTGCTCATGGTTGTAAAGTCAGTTTGATCTGTATCTGACAACGGAGTTTCCAGAAAAAGACTTGACATAACTTTATTTAGGTAGTACATATCTGTGCTCACCATGCCAAATGTCACTGAAATAAAACAAACAAGAAGAGTTCCTATGTGATGAAGTAAAATCGGAAGATATTCAGATTAGTAAACACACCTGCCATGTTTATTAATAGGAGCCAGGAATAAAAATTCTTTCTGAGCTTTTTAGTAAGCCATGTCAGAAGGAACAAACAGGACACTATTGTTTCAGCTATGCAGAAAATATAAAACATTTCTAATGCAGCTTTATAAAAAGAAATCTCATCTACCAAAACACACACCACCAATCCCATAAGAAAAAGGCACGCCTGTGCATGTACGTGAGCTAGGTCAGAAGAACATTTGCACCAGACAACAACAACAACAACAAACAAACAAACAAACAAACAAAATAAAACCAGAAACCAAAAAAACAAGAAATTTGTCTTTGGTAGGGTTTTTTTGGGAGGGGGGGAGTAGAGTGGATTTGATTTAAATCATGTTTTAACCTTTTTAAAGTGTTTCTTTAACAGTTCAAATTTTAAAAAAACCTTTAAAACATCTAAATAATTATTTAAATCATTATTTAAATCAATCTGCTTTTTTAAAATAAATTTTTTTTATTCACCCTGGGGTTTTTTTTTTTTGTATGATATGCTTGCACAGAAAGCTTTGAAATCATACCTTTGGAAATATTTTTATTATTACTTAGAAATTATCATCTGGATCTACTGACACATGTCCTGTTTCCATCCTACTTGGATTACTCTAATATGTTCTGTGTGGGTCTGTCTTTATAGAATGTCCAGAAATTTCAGCTAGTCCAAAAAACTGTAGCTATTTATTTAAAGCTTTTGACTGAGTGGAATGGGACTCAATAAAGATATTGATTAATTATTTAGGATTTGGACCTAACTTCAATCAGATAATCCACCAACTTTATTCACATAATATAGCCAAGGTAATAGTTAATGACGGTATAACAGAGACAATACACCTAGGCCGGGGTACAAGACAAGGTTGCCCCTTATCTCCAGTATTATTTACAATGATAATCGAAATATTGGCACAGATAATTAGAGAAGACAAACAGATTAGAGCGATAGATAATAAAGAGAATGGAAAGATACATTTATTTGCCGATGACACATTATTAATAGTTAAAAATCCAGCCGAAACAATAGAAAGGCTTAAAATACATTTGAAGGAATTTGAGAGTTTAACGGGTTTCAGGGTAAATTGGGGGAAGTCCAAATGTTTATTGCTAAATCATTCAGATGAAGAGAAAAGAAAAGTGAAAATAATATTTGAAGGTAAAATTGGAAATGTTATGAAATATTTGGGGATTAATATTACCTTGAATTTACAAGAAATAATTAAAATAAATCTGGATAGATTAAAAACAGAGATAAGTGGAAAGATAAAGGAATATCAGAAACTAAAAATTTCATGGTTTGGTAGAGTTGCATTATGTAAAATGAAAATAATCCCTAAATTGAATTTTATATTTTGGATGCTCCCCATAAAGATTACAGAAAAACAATTGAAAGAATGGCAGACAATGATAAATTGTTACTGTAATGGAAATAAACGAGTGAGAATTAATAAAAAAATATGGTATGTTATACAAAAAAAGGGAGGTCTTGGATTACCTAACATAAAACTATATTACATAGCGAATCAGCTTAGACATATCCTAGACATAATCAAGGATAATAAAAATTTAATTTGGACAGATATTGAGATGGAGGGTATACAAGAAAGTGTGGAGAGAATATTGTTTAAAGAAAAAATTGCAGAAGAGATTAAAAAGATCAAAAATCCTTTCCTTAAAAACAAGTTGGAAAATTTGAAAGAACTTAGAGAGGCATTGTGTCCACCGATATCTCCTTTATCTCAGGTGGTGGAATTAAGGAATATTCCAGAAAACTTAAAAAATTTAAAGAATGTATTAAAAAGGAAAGAGATAAGTAGATTAAAAGACTGGATAGAGAAGATAAGAGGAAAAGAGGACATAAAAAAGTTACTAGGAGGAGAAGGGATCTCATGGTTAAATTTAATTCAATTAGAATGGTGGACAAGAGAATGGTATACTAAAGAAGGGAAAAGTAGAAAAATGACAAAATTCGAAGAGATTATAGAAAAAAGATTGAAATCAGAGGGAAAGACAGAAAGAAAAGGAACTGTTAGCCAAATTAATATAAATTATTAATTCAAGTTGAACAGGGTAATCTAGGATTAAAAATGCAATGGCAAAATAACTTGGATAAAGAAGTAATAGTAGAAGAATGGAATAAAATATGGGATCAGAGAATTATGAAGAACATGTCAGTAAGGATAAAAGAAAACTGCTATGAAGTAATGTGGAGCTGGTATTTAATGCTGGTCAAAATTAATATAATGGATAAAAGTGTGTCAACATTATGTTGGAGCTGTAAAAAAGAGAAGGGGACGTATTTACATATGTGGTGGTTATGTGAAAAAAGAAAGAATGGAATTTAATATTTAAAGAAATATCTGAAATAACTGGACTGAACATTCAAACGTCTCCGTTAATAGCATTATTGAATCTGATTAAGGAAGATCAATTGGTGAAAGAAAATAAGGATTTAATAGTAATAATGGTTACGGCAGCAAGGATAATATTTGAAAGGAACTGGAGAAATTATAATCAATTTAATTTGGAGGAATGGTATAGAGAATTATGGGACATGGCAAACAATGACAAACTAACATGTGATATGAAAATAAGTAGAGGCCAAATGAAAAATAATGATTTTAAGAAAATATGGAATGTATTTTTGGAACATGTATTTCGGAGAGGGAGGGGATTTACACCGAGGAAAGAAACAATGAAATTTTGGAGTGAAAATGGATGGAATGAAGTGTAATGCTAGTCCTGAAGGTGATGGGTGCACATGGGTAATTGTATTTTATTGTATTGTATTGTTTTGTATTTTATATAGGTTTTTTTTGTGTAGTAGTAGGTTTATTTTGTATTAATAAAATTTTTATTTAAAAAAAACTGTAGCTGTTTACTGGGAGCATACAACTTCCATGCTACAACAGGTCCACCATGACTAGTCCATTCCCAGTGCTAATTGAAAGTGTTGGTTATGACCTATAAAGCACTAAATGGCTTGGCTCCAGATTTTAAGGTCTTTTTCAGCTCCACCATTATAGGCACATCTGGTGAAGAGTTGAAAGAAGGACTGTTCTGTGGTTGCGCCTATGCTAAGCAATTCCTTTCCTTGGGAGGCCAGGTTGCCCCCTCCCTGTTGTCACTGAACTATAGAGTAATGGAGCTGGAAGGAGGCTAAAAGCCCATTGAATCCAATCTCCTTCTCAGTGAAGGAATGCAAATCATCTGACAGATGGCTGTCTAACTTTCCATTAAATGCCTCCAGTGTTGGAGTGTTCATCACCTCCTGAGGTAATTGGTTCCATTCTTGTACTGCTCTAACATGAATTTTTTCCCTTATATTTGTTTAAAATATGGCTTCCTGTAACTTGAGGCCATTATTACAGTATGTGCCCTGCACTCTGGGATGACTGAGAATACTGTACATCCTGACCCTCCTCTGTTCGACAACCTTTCAAGCACCCTGTTTCCCCGAAAATAAGACCTAACCTTAAAATAAGCCCTGGTATGATTTTTCAAGATGCTTGTAATATAAGCCCTACCCTCAAAATAAGCCCTAGTTAAGTGAAACCCCACCCTCCACCATTGTGCAGCAACCAGAAGATGACGACATGACTGTACACGAAAAAAAAAATCCCCTGAAAATAACGCCTAATGTATTTTTGGGAGCAAACATTAATAGAAGACCCTGTCTTATTTTCGGGGAAACACTGTATTTAAAGGGTGCTATTGTATCTCCCCTCAGTCTTCTTTTCTCAAGACTAAACATGCACAGTTCTTTCAGTCTTTCCTCATAGGGTTTGGTTTCTAGTTCCGTGATCATCCTTGTTGCCCTCCTCTCTGAACATGTTCCAGTTTGTCCTTCCGCCAGTCATCAAAGACTTTACTTATTTATCAGGCAAACTTTTGGCAGCTGAAAAAGCTGCAGAGAAAGGTACTCTTAACATGGAATTTTGAAGTTGTAGTTGCATCAGTTTGTGCAAGCAAGAAACACAAAACAAACAAAAAGATGTGGAGAATTGGGCTAATTTCTCAAAAGCTTACATTAAAATATAGCAATTGGTCTTTAAGTTGCTATATTTTTAAACTTTTTTCCTTCCTAATTAACATGGGATCCTGTGCTTTAAAAAAACACTTTTTTTATGTATATGCACTTTTGCTTTTTAGTGATAATGTTTTAAAATTCCTTTATGATCTTTTAGTATCATTATATCTAGGAGATCTTTTAGTATCATTATATCTAGGAGAAGGAAAACTCCAATTCCAAACCTCCACTGCCTTGTGGCTATATCCACTCATGGAAAAGGCTTCAGGAGCTAACCTCGAGGCAAAATCCGGAGCTGGAGTCCCGAAGGCAGCATGTGTCGTTCTGCCAACTCCTGCGACATTGCTGGAACCAGTTGTATTGGCTCTTGCCTTTCCATTGGACTATTTCAGCAATGTGGAGAGGGGGGATTTGCTGCTTGGGTAACAGCCTATCCTCCATATTACCTTACCCGGGCTTCATTCTCTGGAGAGGACCCTCCTCGATTCAGAGCATGTTACCATAGTCTCTCGAGACTGAAGGATGCCTATGATGATGATGATCATTATATACATTAACTGCACTTTAACATTATAGTTTATGTAGCTGTAGGGTTTGATTATTTCTACATTTTGTTTTTATTTGTAAGCCATCTAGGGTCCCTGAATTGACAGAAAGGCATGATATAAATGAAGTACCTGTAAAATAAATAAACAATATGACAGTCTCCATTTAGTTTGGAAAACATACAGTACCACTACAGTACTTACAAATCAGGCTGTCCCCATTTAAAAATTCTCCATATTTGCTTGTGTGGGAAAATATACTTCCTCTGGACATAGGTCCATAATACTGTACGACTTGATGCTATCTCATTGTGACATGGCTTGATAGATAACATGTGCTTGGTTTTCTACACTATCCACCTACTCAACTTCAAGGTTTGCCTTTCTCTTTTCTCTGCATGGATCTTGCATATTAAATGCTACTTTTATTTTCTTCCCCCCCACCATTCCCTCTCCACTATAGACTCACACCCATTTGGGAACTGGAATTTAAATTTGCAACTATACTTCTACTTTATTTATCCCATGCACACAACAAACTTCCTCCATAATAGTCAATAAGTTTAAAAGCCTAATACAAATACATTTAAAGTTCAATGTCTTATTTCACACATGGACACAATGGTTGCATTCACAAAGAACATGAAGCTTCTCATGAACAAGTTGCATGCTTGAGTGCACATCTCATTCATGCTACACTTACATACAGAAAATTCATGCTACACTTACATACAGTAAACAATTCCATTGTTCATGGACTTACATATACATAGATCTGCTAGGAAAATGATGTAGATCAATAGCTCCTGAAGGGTTGTTTTCATCTCTAGCTCTCTACTATGAGTCATTCGAAGTTTCATGCTACCTGTAAGTGAAGTTTTCAGTGAGAACACAAAGGGAAAGTGAGAAATCAACTAAAATACAGAAACTATCAAACCCAACCCAATAAAAGTATGTTTCTGTGTTGCACAAGAAACAAATGAGAGTTAACTGTAGACTGTACTAAAAGAAATATGTAGATCCAAAATGCAATTTCTGACTGTACCAAATACAACTTAGTTAAGTAGACATCATATTTTAGAGCAGTTATGGCCGAAGAAGTTTTGGTGACCACTAGTTTAGACAACTTTTTGAAAAGTGTTCATGAATCAAATCATGGTAGCCAAATGGCTGGAGCCAAAGTTCAATTGCTGTCAGTTGCTGAATGCCAGAAGCTGGGTGGAGGCAACAGGAAGGCTGTTATATATTTATATGCCTGTGAACCTCAGAGAGCTTTGGCTGGCTACTGCTGGACACTCCAACAAAGCCATTTTATTTTTATGCTGTCACACAAATGTTACATAGTAGATGAACCACCTTGAAAATAGGATTGTATTTAAATAAGTAAAAGTAAGTTCTGTCTATCTGCCCACTTGTTAATGTATCACAGGAAAACAAATGGACAGGTTTTCATTGAATTTGGAGTAGGTTGACATGGTCTGATATTTTTTGAAAAGGTTATTTGGCTAACCTAGTTAACTTTCAGTGACTCCTCACTTAGCTTCTCTAAAATAGCTGGGTGGATTTGTGTCAACTTTTGCAGGTATCTTTAGGATGGTCCGACTTGAACTATTTGCTACATGGTACACATGAATATTACTTATATTACTTTCTAATATAAGCCCTACCCCAAAAATGAGCCATAGTTAAATGAAGCCCACCTTCCAACATTGTGCAGCAATCAGAAGAAGATGGCATGACTGTACTGTATTTGAATAAATGTAGATTGTACATGAAAAAATAAAGCATCTCCTGAAAATAAGCCCAAATGCGTTTTTTGGAGCAAAAATTAATATAAGACCCTGTCTTGATTTTGGGGAAACACGGTGCTTAAAATACAAGCTATGCGGGATACACAAAAATTACGAGTGTCCTCAATGTGCCCTAATATTTTTGTTGCCTACAGAGTTGTATGGCACATCATTTTAAAGATTTCAATTATGTCATTCTGTTTTGGATAAGGAGACCTCCAAAGCTTCATTCATTGGGAGGCATGCTGGCTGAGGGTTCTGGAAGTTGTGTTTCTTGGATAAGTTAAATAACTACCAAGGCAAAAAGACAGACCAGTAAAAAATAAAAGGAATGTATGTGTGAGGGAGGGAGGTTCACAGAGAAGTCAAGCACTGAGGTAAGTGGGGGGTGTGTGTCATGGCATGTTAACCCCTGCAAATCCAGGTCCATTGGTGAGAGTGCAATATAAGTATTTGCAGGGTAGATAGGGCAATTATTTGTGGCTTTTTCTTTCCTACAGCTGCTGCTTTTTACTATTAAAGATAAATATTTCATTAGTAAAATAAATACTTGTGAACAGCTGGATAACAAACATAAAGCCTTTGGTGTGCAACCAGTGATGCTCACCACATAATTTCTACTGCTGTAACAAGAAAGACTGAAGAAAGTTGCTTCACCCATTTCTCTAGACTAGAGAACCTATCGCACATTTAGATAGGGGCTCAGAATGAATCCTGGGTTTTTGCTGCTGCAAAATGCATATGCCACGAACAGGCTTGTCTCGTACCCCTATCCTACACCTATTGCATTGCCGCCAGTAGGACTGCCACGGAAACTTGATTGGCCATCGAAGTATGAACAGGGCACGCATTTTAACAGCACGGCCAGGGGCATTTCCATCACGTCGCTTCACTTTCCTTCGGAAGGTGTGCCCAGCTCGCGAGAGCTCCTCCTTCCCAGTCGTTTAAAACCACCCGAAATGGTGACGGGGGGAGAACAGAGACAGACGGGCGGGCCGGGGCAGAGGGGAGGCGTGCTCGGGAAGCCTGAGGCCGGGCGGAGCCGGAGCTGAACAGGGGGTAGGCGGAGCTGGCTCGGCCTAGCCCGGTCCCCTTGCCGGCCGAAGCCGGCTTCTCCTCGCCTGGGAGGCGTACCCACCGAAACTACCTCGCCGCTCCAACACGGAGAGGTCCCTGCTGGTCCCGGGGCCTGCCGTCGCCATGGCCAGGCCAAGCAGGGAGAGCAACCGGCCGAGCCTTGGCCTAATGGCGCGGCGACCCCCCCCCCCCCGTCCCCCCCTCATGCTGGGGGGGGGGGGAGAAGACAACTCTTGAGTTCTTCTAGGACCATTTTTTTTTTAAAAAACATACATATTTTCTGCTTGCTCAATTTAAGATGGGGGCATTTACCACTCTGAATTTGATTTAGCGCTTCTGTATTCACCTTGGCTCTCGCGCAAACATCAAGTGGAAGGAAATTATTTATTTATTTATTTATTTATTTATTTATTTATTTCCCACTCATCTGGTCTATGCAAACACTCTGAGCGGTTGCCTTTGGTGTCCTTAATGCGCTTCCTCCTTAGGGCGACTCTGATGGGTTTTTCTAGCTAAGTGAGATCTGGAAAGAGCGGGTTTTTAGTATTGCCGGCCACCCCAGTGAGTTTCCGTCGCTGAACAGAGATTTGTAACCAGGTGCCCTAAAAACCCTCATCCTCTCGCTGTGCCCACCGCACCACACCGGCACTCTCATTTGGGGGGCAGCGAACCTCGCCCCCAAAACACCTTGGCTTATTTGAATCCTGAGTTTAGGCATGTTTACCTACAGGTTTGTCTGTTAATTTACAATATTTTTACCCTGCCTTTCTCCTTAAAAAGGACCCAAGGCGACTTACATTATTAAAAGGTAATACAGTATTTAAAACTAAAACCAGTAGACATACAATAAGTAAAAAGGATATTAATTTACCACACTAAAAGATGGTAAATAAAAGCAACACCAAACATATTTACAACAGTAAAGCATCCACTAAAAAACCCCACTTGGGCAGTTATTAAGAGAAAGCTTGCGTGAAGAGAAATGTATTTGCCTGCTTGTAGAAGGACAGCAAAGATGGGGCCAGCCTGGCCTCCTGTGGGAGGGAGTTCCAAAGTCTGGGATGAGCAACAGAGAAGGCCCTCTCCTGTGTCTTCATAAAGCACACCTGTGAAGGTGGTGAGAGCCAGAGAAAGGTCTCCTCATGATCTTAACTCCCAGGCAGGCTCATAAAGAGAGCCACGGTCCTTGAGATTGCTTGGACTGAAGCTGTTTAGGGCTTTATAGGCTAGAACCAGCACTTATTCAAAATATTTTACCCTGCCTTTCTCCATAAAAGGACCCTAGGCAGCTTTGAATTGGTCATGGAAACTGATTGCCAGCCAGTGGAGCTGCTGTAACGGGTTTGTGTGATCCCTGTGACCGGCGGTTAGCAATCTGACGCAGCCTTGCAGAAGCTTCCAGATACTTCTTAGAGGCAACCCAACATAGAACACGTTACAATAATTCAGCCAGGATGTAACTATGGCATGTGTCACCATGGCCAGGTCAGATCTCTCCAGGAATAGGTGCAGCTAGTGTACTAGTTGCGCAAAGACACTCTTTGCAATATAAAGCAGTTTCCTATGTTCCATCTGAACATAACGTCAAATGCAAAGACAGGTTCTTGCACCTTTAATAGACCTCTGAAGCACCTGCGTTATAACACATAGAAATAGAGAATTAACAGCCAATTCTTATGAGACAAAGATTTTCTACATATACTAATCTAGAACGTTCTATTGCCTAGGATCTTAACTTGTGGCCCACAGATCCCCAGGGGTGTGCATGATGTCCTCACAAGGGGTCTGAGAAGTCTTGAAAAAATGTTAGGATCTTTTGAGTTAAAAAAGAAAGAACAAGAAATAAAAGGAAACAGAACAAAATCTTAATTTCCCGTGCTTATTTGTGTCAAACTTGTGTCTATTAAAAACAAACAATAGTAAAATCAATTATCAAAATAATTTTGATAGCAAATAACTCATCTTTTTGCATATGATGAGAACATGCAAGTGAATGCTTAGTGGCTGAGGCAGTGCATGACATTTCTTGCTATTGCACAGACAAGCTACAGGAAGAAAGAGTCTGGTTCAGTCAGTGTGATATTATTTTAAATTTGTGTGACATCATTCCAGTAAAATATAATAGGAGTATGTGTGCATTAACAGAATAGCTTATTTCTCCAAATTTAAATTAATGGGAAAATTTTAATAAATGTTCGATGTACTTTAAGATTTTAAATATTGAATTAAGTCTTCTTGGTCTACAGCAAAAAAAGTATTTAAAGGGGGTCTGTGGTAAAGAAAAGGTCAAGAATCACTGTTCTGTTGTAATAAATGACATCAAGGAAGTCAGATGATGATGTCAAAGTAAATTTGTTTTGAGCATTCAATTAACATGGTTTCAAATCATTTAGGACTAAAGGTCAAGATCGACACCTTTAATTGGGACCTGAAAAGGATTGTCAGCCAATATAAGTGATTCAGATTCATATGATCCTGGTACAGTCATGCCCTGCTGGATGATTACCCCGTATAACAACGAATCTGCTTAACGTTGAAGTTTTTGCGATCGCTTTTGCGATGGTTTAAATAGGTTTTTTTCGTTTCACGATGATCGGTTGCCTGCTTCGGGAACCAATTTCCGCTTTACGACGATCAGCAAACAGCTGATCATCGGGTTTCAAAATGGCTGCTGGCTGAAGAAAATGGCCCCCTGCTGTTTTTAGTACTGGTTTTTTGCTTAACAGGCACCAGAAAATGGCCGCCGTGTGGAGGATCTTCTCTGGACAAGTAGGTATTCAGCCCATTGGAATGCATTGAATGGTTTTCAATACGTTTCAATGGTTTTTTTCTTAATTTCGTTTGACGACCTTTTTGCTCTACAGTGATTTCACTGGAACGAATTAACGTCGTCAAGTGAGGCACCACTGTACTTGGATCCCACATGCATTCTAGCTTCCATATTTGATATCAGGTTGAGGGCAGCTCCATTTAGGGTGCATTACAACAATAGTGAGTACCTATTGCAGAATTAAATCTAACCCCCTGAATTTTCTCGCTTTAAAATGACTTCGTTGATTTTAAAACCAAGGTCCAGTCATGGCACTCCTTTTCAAAAAAGAAAATATTCTTTATACAAATTCTGACACTGCTGTTTTTCACACTGAAAGTTATGAACCAGTTAATGCTGTTTCATCCTGGCTTAAGATAGGATTCTCATGTGCATAGTGCTTCAAAGTATTTTTATGAGCCTCCCTGATATATGAGTACGCTTGGGACTGCAATGCAAGATAAAAGAGGTGATGAATAAAATGAAATATCTCATTGGCTTAATCTTAAAATGCAAGTGAAGTTTTGTTTATTCAGAGAAGCCATTTTTGAGAACTCATCCAATAGAAAGTATACTCAGCAGTCAGATTGCTTAAAATACTTGATTATTTGTCACATACTTGTATTCTAAACATAAAACCAATGACAGATCTTGTATTTAAAACTTTATTTGCATTAGACATAACACTTTAATTAAAAACACTCATATTTATGTTTAGTATTCAGCCTGCAGAAATTGTAATATGGGAGGTATGAACAAAGAAGTACAAACAGAAGCCTGGTGACTGAATCTACATACCCTCATATGATCACCCATCGGCCTAGTTTCATGGCCTTTATTGTTAAAAGAACAAAGAATTTAGCTTTCCCTCTGCTACAGTCACACAAATTCATAAAAATTGAACTTAGTAAAATCACAACAGCAGGAAATAACAGCAAGAGTTAATTTATAAATAAAAATATATTAATCATGTTTGCTAATCAGTGCAACAAACCACTTAATTGCATCTATGTGCTGTTTGTAAGTGTGTTGCAAGAGCAACTACTGTAGTTTTCTTTATTGTCAGTTAAAGTTCATCACTCTCATAGAGTCCAGACTGTGCTGCCAAGCGTTGAAACTCCCCTTCATCAGGAAAGAAAGCTTGTTTGACATCCAGACCTTTACCATTGAGTGCCAGGTATTTGCTAAAAGTTGGTCTAACTTTCAACGGCTTTGGATTTGGAACTGGCTTGTACGTGTGAGCTGAAATAGATCATTAGGAAAAGGAACAGAAACATTGCAGGTTAGTTTTTTAAAATGTGGGGGAATGCTATAGCACAGTGGTCCCCAACCTTTTTAACCCGTGGACCTGTTGGGGAAGGCGGGGCACCCCCTGCGCTCGTGCGCATGTACAAAAGAGCAAGAGGGTGCTTGTGTGGGTGTGTGCGCATGCATGAAGGGCAGGGCAGCACTTGGGGGCACTGGTGTGCATGTGAAGGGGTGGGAGAGCACTTCTGCAGGTGCACACACGCGCAAAGGGGCTGTGTGTGGGGAGTGCATGCAGGAGGGGAGTCTGTCTCCTTGGTCAGGGTCAGGCCACGAACTGGCACCGGGCCGGGGATTGGGAGGGCCTCTGCTATAGCATATTCATATGAAATTCCTTGATTTCAAATTGCAACATCAAAGAACAAGACCAAAGGAGTTTGGGTAGATCTTGCTTCCTAAATGTGTGCAGGAATTATATATCACCTCCATCTTACACATGTATGGTCCAGTCCTGTAAAGGCATTTCTGTGCCTACAGATTTCAATGGCCTTTGGCCCATCTGACCACACAGGACTGTTATTTTGCACTGCATCTAAAATCAAGCAAAACCAAAATAAGATTTATATATTAGAAAGGGGAAAAAAAGCATCACTTACTAGCTACATCCAGTCTGGCGTGGCATGTTGCCACTCCTGCCTCATTGACTGCTGATACTGTATACCAACCAGCATCTTTTTTATTTACGTTGTGGATCAGCAAGCAAACCTTTCCAGAGGTATCATGAAACATGCTAGGAGGGGAGAAAAAAAATACTTTCGCATCTTGACTTGGTCGAAAAACAAAAACAAGATACACTGTATACTCGTAATCATTATTGGTAAGCACTGTCAGATGTTTCTAATGTGAAGATACATCTTCTGCTTTATTAACACTGCCTGCAGCTTTAAGGACACTGTGAAATCCAGTAGTAAGTCACAGCTACAGTGGGCCTGTCAAATCAGTGTAACCTATGGAGGAATTGACCCACCAGATCACTGCTGATTCAGTGGTGCCTACTCTGGCTGCAACCTGCAACTTGATTTTTGCCTATTTATAGTATCAGGCCATGTAAGGAAGCTCTCACATTGCAGACTCCCTTTCCACTGTTCCAATAGTTTCTGATATTCTCCAAATCATAGTATAAATCAATCACCCTGAATGAACTGCATTGCTTTGACATACATTTTGAACCAAGAAACCTGGAGAAGTGGATGTAAACAATTTGTATTAACCCCACCCAGCTTTTCTTCATTGGGAACTCAAAGCACATTACAGAAGGGACTATCAGCTATCAACCACCGCTAGAGTCTCCCTCAAGTGTCACATTATAAAAAGACAGATAAAAGGCACTTCATGCCAGGCTTCCCTGGAAGAATGGAATTCCCACAAGAGAGAAGGCCGTAGTTGTCTAGCCATCCACCAACTAACAACTGGCAGGGAAACCTGAACCAGGAGCATGCTGACTAGGCCACTGGCAATGAGAGGGCATATGGGAGAAAGCACTCTTTATGTATAGTCCAATCCTTCCTTTTTTTTTCTTATGAGAGCAGCCAGCAGATAAACCATTTCAGAAGAGTATTTATAACCTTAAACTTGGTCAACATAATTTGATCGCACCCCGATTCTTATAAAGCTGCGAGCATGTCCCTCAAAGAGATACCTACCAGATTCGGTCTGTATTGAACTGTACCATTTCATTATTTCTTTTCCAATAAATCTGGGGTGGAGGAATTGCAGACACTTGGCATTCAAGTCTGGCTGAATCCCCTTCATAGACTCTTGTGCTTTGAGGTTTAAAGATAAAAACTGGGGCTTTTCGATGTTCTCGGGCTTTTAATGAGGAAAAGGAGAGAGAAAAGTGAAAATTTTTTGAAAAGCAAGAACTGGGAAGAGGACATATATATAAACATGAGATCTAAAAGTGGAGGCAAATAAGAGTTAGAATTACTTGGGAAAGTATGAATAATATACATAATTTACTTTGTTTAGTTGCTTTATTTTGAACTCTTGAGGTGCTCCAACGTACGGTCAGCATGGCCTTCCAGTTTACCTCATTATCAGTGACAGCGTATCCACTGTCACCGCATACTGGAGCTATAACCAATATTAGAGTGAAGAGAGACCCTTTTCAGGATAGGTGGAGAAAGTTTCCTTCAACACATGGATTTTGTAGCTAATAAAAGAGTTCTCTCACTTTATATGCAATCAGAAGTAATCACCTTGGGTGGCATTTGGCAATTCCATTAACAAACAGCTAGCTATATTCTCAGCATAAGAGCATGGAATTATTATTTAAATTTGACATCTACAACTAGAGAACGCTCTCCATACTGCTCTTGCTAGAAAATAGACAAGGAAGGAATTATAACAGTAAAACACATCAGTTGAAAGGCAAAAACTAGTTTCCACAGAAAAAAGTCTATCATACCAATAACGTCTAGTTTTACTGTAAAGGAAGCTTCTCCAGCACGATTATAAGCCACACACTCCCAGGTTCCAGCATCATAAACTCGGACAACTTCAAAAATGAATGAGTGGAAGCCCTTTTCAGATACAATCATTTTATGAAATTCATCTGGGTGAACCAGTCTTCCATTTAAGTACCAAGCCACATCTGGAGCTGGTAATCCGCTGACCTGCAAGGGGAAGGAGAGCAGATGCTTAGGGGCAGCATCAGCACAAAAGTGGAACTATCACCTATGTAAACAAGAGCATGTATCTGTATGAACATTTTATAGTCTTTGTTACTTTCTTTATTATGTTCGCCCTGCCTTGCAACAACTTTGGGAAATGGATCAAGCCAAGATATGATAATTAAACCAAATCCACCCAGGTTAACTGCATTGTGACTGAATCTGAACCTGGATTGTCCCTCCCTAAATCCAATACACCTTGTTCTAGCATAAAGTCCCTGGGAGTAGCATTCTAAGGAAAAAGAATGACAGCTTTTGGGATCTGGTTTTTGTACTTCTATCCACCGTGTTGTGACACCAGTACAAGTCGCTTCTCCTTATCTGTTCAACTTTCAGATGACTGTGATTAGAACAAGAGGTGAAATTGCAGTCTCCTGCATGCCTGAATTGCAAATCAGTCCAGCAGAGGCAGCCACATGGACTAACACTGCAAAAGCTTGTACTGAATGACACCAATAAACAGAACATCTAAACCTGTATTTCTGACAATACATACATGATCAAACATAATCTGTACCCTATGCCGGAAGGCTGTTTCACAAGAAAAAAAAAGCTGACAAAAGTCAAACAATCATTTTGGTTAGCCTTATAAACAAACAAACAAAATGGTATTTCAACTTGGAAGAGGATATCGACTTAGAGAGATTTGCTCTTATATATCTTTCTGCACCTTGCCCCCATATACAATAAATACAGTAGGACCCCCATATCCTCTGGATAGTCGTTCCAACCCCCCAAGGATAGTGATATATATATACTGTATATAGGACAGTAAAAGGGGAAAAAACAGGAAAAATATTCACATGCATTACCATAACTGGCCACTAGCTGGAGGCAGAGACCACGCTATGTATTCTTCACTAACAAGTATTCATAGCACAGTCCCTGGCTCCTTCTAGTGGCCGGTTCTGGTAATAAATGTGGAAATATTTTTGTTGCTTTTTTCTTTTTTATATTTTTAAATATTTTCAGACTGTGGATAAGTGAATCAGTGGATACTGATCCTGTGCATGGTCCTATTGTAAATTACTTGTACACCTGTAAAATTGTCTGTAAATATTCCCAAGGAAGTGGTTGTATTAACTTGTTACAACAAAACCAGCAAAGATTCTTATGGCATCTTAAAGGCTAAGGCATTTAATTTGGCATAAGCCTTCATGGTCAGGAAAAGAGCTAAGTGCCTGCTGTCTGGCCTATGAAAATAAGAGCAGAGTGCTAAATGGAAGTGCTTTTCTGATTTGAGCAAAGTATAATTTATGCACAGTAACAGTAATGGCTTTATAACTTAAATTTGACCAATTTGGTGTTACAACACTTACGTTTAAAAATAAAATCCCAGGAAGAAAAAAAAACACAAGGTAAGGATCACTTTGTTTTCACAGAGAGCTGTTCTATGAAAACACAGAATATATTGAAATGATGCAAGTGTCATTATCCCTGTGAAAGGAATTGTGTGACACAAAACTAGGTCAGAAGGGATGCTGACAGATCTATTAGTATAACGCTCAGCAGGCAGCAAATGCTTTCAGACCTTTTTGTTCATCAGGCAATTTTGTTGGCATACGCGGAAGGCAACAAAAAAAGGGGGGGAAGGTCACAAAAACATTGAACTGTATTGAAGATCACAACAAAATTGCAAATGACAAAAAGCACTGAGTCTCTAGAAAATATAGGGCTCCAAATTTTATAATTATTATACAGTACATTGAGAGAAAGAGAGAGAGAGAGGATGCTTATAGCAATGGATGAGCAAATGGTAGTGAAAAGCCTGTCACCCGTATTCTAAATCTTCCTTACTGGAGTTTCGTAACTAACTTATGGACTATGTTATCAAAAGATGCGGCGATGACCTGAAGCTTAAATGGCTTTAAAGGGAGATTAGCCAGATTCATGGAGGATATAGGTAATCTGATTTTCTAAATCCACAGTTGGGCAATATCTTTATTAGTGTTGAAAAACATATTGCAAAGCTTGGACACTTTTGTGGTATTTTGGTTGGTCTTAATAAAATTATTATCCCACTCAATTTTGTGGTTTTTTTCCTTCCAAGAAATAGCATTGCTCTTTGTTTTTTAATTGATTTTCTAGTTATCAGATACTTGGGACAGGCTGTCATCTAATAGCCTATTTGTGAACTTTTAGAGGTCATTTGACCAGCCACTGAGGTCTTGACTATAGGTACTGTTGTCTGATTCAGAAAACTATTTCTTACAAACACTTTCATGGTTAAATGTGCTGGAAAGCCTTGAGGAAAGCCTTGAAATGACATACTGTTACCTTGAAATCAATCCTGCAGAATCGTCCTTCTTCAACTGTTATGTCTTCAGGTACTTGCACAAAGCGTGGTTGAAAAAACTTCTCCTGGATTGACGCTTGCTCACTCCTCTCCCCTCTTGAAGTTGGCCTGCTCCTACAAGGGCACATTTAGAAGGGCAATGAGACATTTCTATATAACATCTCTCCTGTACCACCGCCTCTCACAGACCACAAGCACATTAAGCCTACATCAATACTCTGTCTCTAAACTTGGATCATTATAGAAGCAAAGCATCTGGGCCTGCTTTGAATGTAACTCTCGAATATTTCACACAGGGGAACTCCTATTGGTGTCTTCACAGAATTTGACAAAGCCTTAGTTTTCAGTTAAAGCCAGACTTAATTGTGTGGATTACAATACTGTATGACTTTTTCAAAAAGCTCCACATCCCAGAATCAACTGCATTGGTCTTGAAATGTGTGCTTTCGGCTGCAGTCCTCCTTACCTGAGAGTAAGCCATGGTGAATGCAGTGAGTAGCAACATACAGAACTATGCTAATAAATGTGACACTGCAATGATTAGACTGCGAGTATTTTGCCAGCCACCTTTAAATATGTTAGAATGCTATCCAGCCTTCTGCCTGGTACACAGGATGAAACCCTGGTCACAATCCATTTTGGCCATTTGTATCAAATACCATCAGACCACAGGGAAGCTGCTGGGCAGCTAAACCTGTGCATATCACGTACCTTACTTGTGCTGTTGGCACTTGCAGCCGCGTGCTTTCCAAATTCTGCTGCTGAGAATGCCAAAGAGAGAAAGGTTACCGCTACTTTATGGTGACAGACAGTTGTGACATAGTCAGAGCTGAAACAAATGCACTGCAAAATCTGGAAAAGCAAACGCCTGACTTATCATAAATACTTTCTATTATAGAATATATATATATTAAAAAGTCACCTCCTATTAATTGTACGGTTCTTTGTGTAGGTCCAAAGGATGTTGCCAAATATGTACGCTTTGTTAGAGGAGAGGGTATTATTCCCCATAAAGATCTGAAATAGGATCTAGGGACACACTGTCCTTCAGTCGAGCAGGAATAGAAGTCAAGTCACTTTAATGCTGCACTGGCAACTGCGTGCTGACAAAAGGGTGGTCAATGGCAGTCAACACATCTTAAGCTGGAAAATATTTTCCTTGTTAGATCACAGGGTTACATCCAGCTACATTTTCTAACAGCATTTTTATTAAATCAAGCAGGCTTTATGAGCACCTGGGATTTGTTTGTTTGTTTACCCTAACTAACAAGACCGATTTTAGCATTTTGAAGAACAGATGGAATTGAATTTGATGCAAGTTGTAATTCAGGCACAGTGATAGTCCTATCATTTTAGCAATGAGGTCAGTTAAATATAGGAAGTGCAGCATGGGCACTTCAAGGTATTCGTGGATATAAACTGTGTACTATATAAGCTCTGTGCCACATCTGCTCAGTACATTTTGGAATACCGGTTTTACAGCCTGATGGCACACCAGAGATTGTGATATTTTTTGTTAGTCAGCTAAGGGGAAAACCCCTGTAAATCCAGTGGCTCAATGGAGACTGAAAGAACTTTCTAGACTAGTGTACATACTAAACAGTGTGCAGTGTACATACATACATACATACATACATACATACATACATACATACATACATACATACATACATACATACATACATACATACATACATACATACATACATACATACATACATACGTTCAGTGTGTAGTGTACACACTGAATGTGGTTTTTCAGCTGTGACCACATAACTGGACCAGACCCTTGCCCCCTGGCCATCAGTAGTTTTCCAATTATAGATCCATCTATTTTCTCTATGCAAATCAGTGGAACAGATACTGCTTGTGGTGCCACACTTCCCCCGCCTCGGTCAGATCCCAGTATCCTAACAACAGGGGAACTGCGACACACAGATGTTTCTTACTTGCATGGAAAAAGGGGCAGATCTGCAATAAGGAAAACTATCCATATAGGTGTGCTATGCTTAGACCCCTACAAACAATCTGTTGCCCCCTTCATCAGTATTCTGTATCCTGTGTTCTGCACCATCCTCACAACTTCATGCAAGGCTGACTGTACCATTAGACAGAACAAGACAAGTATTCCAAGCAGCAAATGTGGGTGTGTGGAGTGGCCTGATGTTAGAAGATAAGCGTTACATATATTGTGTGGCCTGTCCTGAACTGTCTAAGCAATCCTGCTGCCCAGTACAGTGGTATTTTGGTAGGGTAATGTCATTATTTAAAACACTATCAGAGATATACTGTAGAACTGAAATAGTTTGTATTCCTTCAGTAACACTGAAAAAGACAGTCCATCCAATATATTTGAATTATTCCCTAATTGAGCCAGATGTTCAGAACCACAGATTTGTCATGTGGTCATTTGGGGCCACAACATATGATGTCTTTTATGGAGAACTGGGAGCGCTCAAACTCAAGGGCAGTGAGGACAGCAGCCTCCTTCTTACAGTACTGTGGCGGCATAAAGAAAGTGAAACTGAGAAAAGGTCCTGCCTCATCTATACCTCTGCCTCAAGTGAAATGGTGTCTGGGCTCCCTATCTGTAGAGTGCTGTTTGTTATACAGTGGGGTCTTGACTTAAGAACGGCTCGAGTTAAGAACATTTTGACTTAAGAACCACTCTCATAGGAAAATATTGACTTGACTTACATACTTAGATTTGAGTTAAGAACTGAAAAAAACCCACATGGGAGGCAGGGAAGGTGCAAAATGTGAACTTTCAGTTAACTGTTGGCCAGTGAAAAGGGTGCCTGTCTGCTTCCTCACTCCTCCCAGCGTTTAGAGAGTGGATTGGGAGACAGTCTTCGGACTGCCTGGTACTATCCTGCCTGGACTGTATTTTCCCTGCCTTCCCTGAACCTTTCTTGACCTAAGAATAAAAAGAAACAGAATATCCCCTCTAGTGGTCGAAGGCGGAATAGCAGCTTCCCATTAATTTCTATGGACGGAAAAGAGCAGATACGGATCAAATGGTTTTCAATGCATTCCTATGGGAAATGCAGATTTGACCTGAGAACTTTTTGACTTGACACCCGCCTTCCAATACGGATTAAGTTCTCAAGTCAAGACCCCACTGTACCAAGAATGCAATGTTTAAAAACCTGTTAGGTCAGTATCTTTAAGAATAATTCTGATTACTCTCCATAAAAATTCCCAAGCTTCATCCATTTTTGGCAAATGTGAAGAATTCTGCATTGAGGGATTTAAAAAACCTAAAATATAACTTACTTGTGTGTCTTGTGTATTTTCTTCACTCTGTGGTTGAAACACAGATGCAGCACTTTCTGGTCCAAGTAACCGGCGAGCCATTCTCTCCTCGTAGCTTAAACGCTAAATGTAAGGAAGAGGGAAGGAGAAAATTAATTAGAAAAAAATTAGCGCCAGTTGGCATTTCATTGCCATTCAGCAATCCACAGCCACCAGAGAAGAACACATATATGGGAGTTATTATTTTCTAGTAAAACATATACAAGCAATATTTTTGATCAGTGCCATCTTTGGCTGTAAATATAACAGCCTTTATTGCTGAGATTTTCCACTGCTACAGCAAAATATTTCAGAAGGTGAACAAAGAACTAATATGGTGAACACACACACATCTGTCTTGACAGAGTCATGGTGTAATTCAATTTTCTCCTCTCTTTGCAATGTTATCACAGGTATACATACCAGAAAAATGGAATGGTGGATCAGAATCTGCCACTGTCTTGCTATTACCCTTCTGAAGTGGCCTTTCCAATATAGGAAATATACGAACATTTACCAATTAATCTACTGCCATTAGTTTTTTTAAAATAAAGTATTAATATTCAAAAATGCTCCAGAATGAATGGACTATTAAAGCGGGTTTTGTTTTGTATAACAATAAAATAAAATAAAAATAATTGTGATAACCTTCTAGACGAGAGAGATTTATTTCAGTGTGAACTTCATGGATCACAATCCACTTCCTCAGACACAGCGGACAGTAATGCACAAAGGTTCACATTAGAATAAACCTGCTAGCCTTTAAGGTGCCACAAATATTTTGCTTGCTTGGTCACATCAAAAGTGTGTGGAGTCCATAATCAGATTCTGGCTGTAGTTCAGCCTTTGGAAATGAAAGGTCTTGAAGGCTACCAGGGTGGGATTACTTCAGGATTGCCTTCACTGCTGTAATAATACGACCATCTTCACCCAATCTTTTCTGTGGGTCAGAAAAAAATTAAGACTACCTGAACAGCAATGTTCACTTGGTTTCTGTCAAAGAGGGCAGATGAAAGAAAAGAGGTACAAAGAGCTTTAGCTAGACATACTAAGGATCAGACATGGAGCCCCCAGCACTCAAAACACTTGCTCTATCCAGAGTGGGGAAGGTTACTTCTCTGAAACACAGGTGTATACTTGGAGTGTAATCCAATTTTCTCTCCATCTCCATCACTGAGCCATAGTCCCGCTCATAATATCCCTGTATTATCTGTAGCTACATGGTCCCTGGCATAGTCCAACATATTTGGAATGGGACCCTGATGACATAGTACACTGACCCCTCTCACATCCCTGCCTCCTAGATTATTTCTAAAGGCATCAGCATCAACTCTTCATTAAAAGATAGTACCCACAGGATTACACCTGTGCAGTAACTACTGATGACTCAAGATACGCTTTCAACCCAACTAGCCAATATTGGCAGTGCTCAACAGATCAGGATGCCAGGGGTCAGTGGAATTATCCCAATTCCCAAAGAAGTAAATATGCTCCTAGATTAATACAGAGGAAGAATAAGCTAAATTTGCACTGAATAGCTTAAGGAGACATGTTAACATATACGTGATCACATACCACCCCACCCTCATTTCAGAGATAAGCCTTAGCTTGCAAAATTACTTTAAGAAGTGCAACCTGTAAGTGAAACACCCAGAACAATTTAAGTTAACTACCATTGTGCTTGTTTTTCTCTGCCAGATATAGTCTGCATACAATATGTATCTCCTTACTTGATTCCCGTTATGGAGAAGGTTATCTTTGCATTTGAGTTTCCTCTCCAAATCTTGAATGAGGGCGTCTTTCGTTCCTTGTATCTCTCTGTCTGACGTCTTCTGCACTTGTTTGGGGCTGCTGGTTTGCTTCTTGTACATGGGCTTTGAATAACTGTTAATTTAAGGGAAAGAAGGAAGTTATCTGGAGTAGGACATAAGGAACAGAACCAGAGACAACTCAGTTAGAAATGTGTGCTGCTGCCCAGCTGATGTACGAGAAGGATGTCATCAGTGCTATCTGTAAGATCTTGTATGTGGTTTATTTATTGCTATGGAATGTAGGGGGGAATAATTAAGGCTTGGGAAAAGAGAAGTATCAACTGTGAAAAATAAAACTCTTACTGGTTCATTTGTAGTTTTAAACATGTCCCTCCACCAGCTAAAGATACTGTAACCCATAGGGATTGTTGGTTCAGCCCAGTGGGCAGGGAAATCTATCAATCTGTCTAGCTCACATCTTTACTATGTTCATAAAAAGAATACATAGCCCCAGTGAACTCAGAAAGTAGTGAACTGCCTCGACTAAACTGGTGCTTATATTTCATAGATTATGTCCCCTGCCTCATCTCTTTACTTTCTAAGAGTATGGACAATTCTTCAAGCAAAGAGGAGGGCTCAACACAGGCATTCATCCACAACATGTCTTGTGAGCAGCAAAAGCATAGTCAAAAAAGGAAAATCCGTCAGTCTTAAAAATGAAGAGACAAATAATTTATAGGGCAGAAGAATGCCTTATTGGCTGTAGGGTGGGTAAAAGCAAGCTGATAAGGCTAATCTTCTGCCTCAACCACAGCCCTGTTAGTACAGGCCAGTCAGGGCAGAAAGTGGGGTTATGTGGCAGTTCATGCCTCCTTCGTGTTTGTCTGGGAAAGCATTCCCCCCCACTTCTTATAAGTTACATATAGGCTGGAAGAGAGGGCTGACAGTTTGCATGGTACCATAGATAAGAGACCTGGATTGGGACAATTCATCAATTCATCTTTGTGCACAATATGACATGAATATGTATTTTTATTGTGGGATGACAAGAAGAATCCATTTCTTGTTTGCCATATCTGCCAATCTACCACTGCGTCTTCCATATGTTACTGCCCAACTCCTTATACATATCTACTGGCAGTGAAGCCTCATTAATTGCCATGGAACTTAATTCCAGATGAATGCATTCCGGGTCGCAGCCCCAGTCTTCTGGGTGGATTAGGATTTCCTGCCTCAAGAGATGATGATGTCCCTGAATGTTTGTAATGAAAAGCACTGGGTTATAAGATACTTAACAATACATTGCATTCCTTTAATGTAATGTTGTGCTTATCTCAGGAATGTGTGACAGAATTAACAGAATTACAAATGGCATGGAGGTTTCCAGGCTTATTTTCTAACACCTATGCTTCAGTCTCACTATTATTAGAAAACATGCCTCCTGCTGTTGTTCCTTTCTGCCCATCAGGTATTATGCAGAACACGGATGATACTTCTTTTCACTGCTGACCCGAAAAGGAAGTTTTGGGGGAGACAGAGAAGTGTTACATTTTTGTGCTTTGCAAAACAGCGGAGAGTTGTCCTTTGTTCAGGAAACACGTACTTACTATAATTGTTGCCAAGTTTATGTTTCAGGAACATTGGCTTCCCTTAAACATTTAAAATATTTTATGAGGCAGGAAAAGCCTCCTCTCCCCCCACCTTACTAAATGATCTCCACTGTACCTTTTCTCATTTTGAAGCAATCTACTGAGGAGGAGTGTTTAGCTTCCATTGAAATCACCAGATATTTTCCACTTAGGGCTAAGTCGTACCCTCAGTTGTTTCCCTGTCAGTTGCACAGAGTCTGATCATACACAACGGACAACAGGAAATCCCTTTTCACAGCCTTCTTCGAACCTAGTGCTTTCCAAGTGTCCTGGACTAAGCGCCCATCATTCCCAGCAGATACAGTGCTGGCAGGAAGTAATGATAGGCATGATAGTCAAGCACATTAAGAGAGCATCTGATTAGGGGAAAGTGCTCTATGGAGAAGAATCATGGGGAAGAAATATTAAATACACTCACTTAGGAATAAGCCCCACAGAATCCAGTGGGATTTAATAGTATTAAGTAACAAGGTAGTGCTAAGGATGTTTACATATAAGTAAATATCCTAACACATAAGACTTACTACAGGTCTTTTTAGGATTGCTGCTATATTCCTCCGGGAGGTAGTCCTACTAAAGCCTATGGATGGAAGCTTAGCTCACATTGCAGATCAGTTTTAACCCTTTAATTCCCCAGGACAGAAACATGCATTCCAAAAGCTGTGAAGATACAAAGGACATCTACTGTGTGAAGACAGAACCATCCATCTTTTCCTTAAAAACTCCTCTAACAGACAGGACTTTTGCCATAGCTTCCTAGATGATCTGTTTTATGGGAAAAGCTACACATGTTTTTGTTTTTAAATGTTGCCAAGATCATTCGCATTTGTACATCTGGGACCTGGCTTGAGTAGTGCAAAGAATTTGCATCTCTGTCTTGCTTTTGTTCCTATTACCTTGCCGAAAGGCCCCATCGTTTAGCATTTGTAAAAAACAAAATAGACTTTTGCCAAGTGAAAGAAACATGTCATAGTGAAGGGAACTCAAGAGCTTCTCTTCTCTGCTCCCCCTCCTCATCCTTGCCTCTGCATGCCATACTTAACGCAGAGTACAGCATACCCATAAAACAGGGGACACGACATGAATAAAGAACACAGAGTTTCAAGAGCAATACATACACACAGTTCAAAGCAAGGGAAAGAACATACTCACTTTGACTCCACTGAGGATGGCCCTTGGCTATTATAATCAAAGTGGGAGGGCAAGACGGAGCAAAGGAATGCTGCAGGGGACTGGTTATGCATGGATGAAGTCCTCTGCCCAGATGAGGAGCTAGCAGGAGACTGTGCAGATGCAGGTGTTACGGGAAAGGAAGCGCTATATGAAGGCGAGGAGAGTGAGATTGGCGAGCTCAGCGATGAGGAGGAAGAAAACTTCTTCTCATTAGGGTTACAAGGCTGGATTAGAATGGAAGACTGCTTGGTCTGCCTGCTCGGAAGGGTAGCAGTAGAGTTTTCTGGTCCAGGAGGCTGTGGTTTCCCTTGATATGTATTCTGAGACTGGATAAAGTGTTTTGGACGCTCGTAATTAAACATGCTTGGCTGATACATGGAGGACACAGATGGGAGATTACTGACACTCATGGGAAAGCTTTGAAAATTGTCCTGGGTTTTAGAAGGTGAAAACGGGTTTTGAGCTGTTGGCTCGAAAGAATGAGACGATAAATTTTGTGGCCTTTCTTGGCTGGGTTCCTGGGTGGAACAGAACCCCTGCCTCTGCAAAGAGTGGCTGTCTTGGTGATGATTATCCCTTTAGGAAAACAATACAAATAAAAATAAAATAAATGATAAGCTACAATGACTGGAAATGATCATGTAGATTCATCAAACAGGAAGGGAACCAATGGACAAATCAAGTCAAAGACAGGCTTGTCCTGTACTCAAAAATACAAGGTATTCCTGCAAACCACCAAATTCAGTGGTTCTCAAACTGGGGTCTCCAGATGTTCTTGGACTGCAATTCCCAGAAGCCTTCACCACTTGCTATGCTGGCCAGGATTTCTGGGAGTTGAAGTCCGGGAACATCTGGGGGCCCCAGTTTGAGAACCACCAAGTCCTAACTGATCTCTTTCTTCCACAACAGATCTTTATTTGACATTATTCCTCTTCCCCTTCAGCACAAAATGCTCATTCATATTTACTTATGTATCAGCAAAGCACCTAACCCACTCGAGGATCTTGCCCACTGAAAGTAACAAATATGAGCCTACTTTTATTGAATGACCATAATTAACACATAAAGATACCACCGAGTACTCAGCATACAATAGTTGACTACTAGAGACTCTGAACACCATGTAAACCCTCGGTTTCTGCAAAGGGCTCTGTTGCATGTACAGCATGGAGAAAACTAGTAACAACTGTTGTGCCATCTAGTTTTTCCACTCAGGCATCTCAAGTTGTGTGGAACTAAAAAGAACAGATGGAAAGGAACTCACTGTCATTCCCCTTCATGAGAAGGTAAGTCCATATCTTCTGTGGGCCAGAAAGGAGCACTTAAATTTTTAGCATTAGCCTCTCAGCAAGAAGTCTATAACTATACTAAAGTGTACAAAATGTTCCAATGCTCCTCACTTAAAAGCCAAAAGGTAGACCAAAATCTGTTACAGCTGTAGGTTACAATTAGCAGTAGATTAGGACAAATATCTGACTCTGTTTTTTTTTAAATAATAGCCTACACACACATGCACAACACAGCCTATTGTTAAAAAGTAGAGAGTCAGATATACTGTATAGGCTATTGTTAAATAACCAGGAGTCGGATATCCCTTCTGATTTACTGCAAATTATAACTCAGAGTAAGTCAGCACATCTCTCACATAAATATAACATAATACATGGATCCTCCATGACACATATTTTTCCAGACCAACTAAAACCTTTTCCAACAGTAAATACAAGATGCAACCAGAAAAAGTATATTTCTGACTCATTGAACTAAATAGGATGCCACTAATTTGCTTTTTCTCTGGATTGTGCAGAAACCTGCAAGATGTGTGTGAGGAGGAGGAGGGAACAAGATATGTGTGTCACTCACACACTTAAGCAAACTAATTTAAAATAGCTGTCTGAAACTCAGTCTTCTTGGGACACACATTTAGCTGCTTAGAGTCCAGTGTCCTGAACAATTTCTGTAGTATCATGGGACATCCATGAGCAACCATGCAGAAGCATGGTTAAAATGAAATCACAGTTTTGGGTAATCTATAAAAATAAAACTTTATGTGGGCAATTAGGTTCACACAATTTAATAGGCTGTCCACAAGCTAGGAGCTCACATGGATAAATGTTATGAGAACTGTTTCACAGCAATATAATTAGCAGCAAGTTTCCACACCTGTGACAAGGCTTTTCCCAGCCCCTCTTATCACAGATTGACTGCTGATCCTCATCCATGAATGGATTCACAGGTGCAAGCTCAGGGATAAGCAATTTTTCAAGGGCAAAAAAACCCTGTACAAGTCAGCCTGTATGATCTGTTACAAATTATTAACTCAGTTTTATTTAAAATCTGAGCAAAAATTGAGGAAGGCAGCTACGGTAACTTCTTACCAACGCATGGTTGGAAAAATCTACCTGACCTTATTTTATTTATTTATTTTATTTGTATCCCGCCTATCTGGTCAATCAAGGACCACTCTAGGCGGCTAACAAACTTCATATGCAGCAAAAAGCCTAGCTTGCTTTTTCTTTAGGGTTAGGGACAGGAGGCAGCAAGACTGAATAGATAGACGAGTGGCCTGTGGATGGGGAGCTTAACCCTTTCCCCACCAGACGGCTGCCCATTCAGAATCTCTCCCGCCAGCTGCTCTCCCCCTGCAGGGCTCCAAATCAGCTGTTTGGCTGCTATATATATGCAAGTACAGTACAGTACGTTGTCTTCCTTTCTTAGGAGAACCTAAAGTAGGTTCCATGAGGTCATACATTCCCCACAGAGATCGAATTGTTAGAAGGGCTTCATAGAATGAAACTTAAGCGTTTTGTCTTCTTTCGACGTTTCTCAGCAATTGCAGATTATTGCCAGGATCCTCTTACCTAGTCGTGAAACAAAATCTAGTTCTTCTCTCAATCTGACAGAACGCATTCCACAGAAGTAACACTAAACTCAGGCTGAACGCTGTTAAACCCCAGGCCACCAAGCACCTCCACGTGAAACGCGTTCCCACACTCCACTAAATTGACTTGCATAACTGAATTCCTAGTCTTAATTAGTTTGCTAACGATTCACTCATCCTTAACCGGCCACGAGAAACGGGCGTAAAAACAGAACTAAACTTTCCTTGTTGCCGCTCGTCTCCCTGCACCAGGCATTCGATGCTAGAGGCGCGATCCTGAACACCTTCACTCCGAAATCAAATCCCGCCGGGTTCAGTGGGTCCTCCCTGGAACTGCCCGCCGCCTTTTAAGAAATCAGGACCCAGTTCTGCTACCAATGCCAGCGAGCCCGCCTTCCCCCACCGCAGCAAAAAACTTTTACACAGTTACTTCTGATCCAGGCAAGGGAGGCACACCGGGGGGGCGAAACCAGGCGCGAGGGGACGGCACAAAGGCGACCTTACCTAGAACCCACAGAAGGGATCACCTGGGAAGTTTTTAACCTTGTTTGCGGTGGGGAAGCCAGCCATTCACCAAACCCCGACCACAATCATTGTAGCTCTCTCCTTAGCATTCGTAAGACGAGGGACTTTTATCCGCTGCCAAATAATGACATCTGATGTACTCGCTTGTCCACCTATCCGAGCTGGGATATCAAAATAGAAGTCCTCGTCCTGCCTGACCGCCACCATCCCTTCTGGGAAATGAATGGCGGAAACGCTTGGCTGCTGGCTGGGTAGAGGCTGGGCCACCCTGCGCAGGTCTACTCGGAAGCAAGTCTCACTGCGCTCAGTGCGGCTTCCTTCCAGGTAAACGGGCGCAGGGTTGCAGCCTTAGGCGAGCCATCCGATGCCATGCAGGATTCACTCGGGGATTAATTCGGACCACTTCAGTTAGATTTTCTCCTGAGTCGTGGGAGAGGGTTGCAATACAAACGATGGCGGCTTTGGGGAGGGAGTTTAATATGAGTCACGATCTGGATCGGGAAAGGAGTGGAAAGAGCAGACCTTTGGAAGACAAAAGAGGAAGAAAGAGCCGCGGGTTGCTTTACTGCGAGAGCTTTCCCCGAAGCGAAGACTGGACAAGCCCCAGAGTCCGTGGGCTGGTGCTCTCTTTAAGTAAGGGACCAACTATCCGCCCACTTACGATAGCTTGCAGTGCGGGCCATTTCAACGAAACACTCCCTCCCCCGACCTCGCCAAGAAACATGCCTGCTCCATTTCGCCCGACTGCAATGTGACTGCCACCTCCAGCCTTCCGAGCCGGGATGAGTCTCACCTACTCCCGTGCGCTCCCAGCCGGAGAGTGCGCAAGCCCCATTCGGCAAACTGGCAGCCTCGTTGTAACGTGTGTTGGTTACTGGCGCTCAAGTCGGATTTTTACCAGTCCCACTCCCCCCACTGAGTTCCCACGGCTGAGCGGGGACTCGAACCCACAGCTCCGAAGCCCTAGTCCCTCACTCTCTCCACTACACACCACGCGGGGTACCTTTCAACCTTATTAGGTTAATCTTCCCCCCTCCCCGTTCTCGGCTGGCGCTAAAGACACGTTTCTGAAGGAAGATACACTAGCGCCACAGGCGTAAAAGGACCGCGCTGGCGGAGTATGTGTGTGTGTCTGTGTGAGTGTGTGGGAGAGATTCTTTTTGCGCCAAAGCACGACCACCACAGCTGTAAAAAGAGTTAATGCCGCGAGTCAGAGTCGAAAGCGAGAGGGGCTGAAATGGCTGTTACATATTTGTTTCTGGCCGAGGGGCAGCCAAAGGGGTCTCCCTCTCTTCGGGTTCACTTTCCCATGAAACTTGTAGGGATCCCAGCTCGCGCCGTCGAGGGGACTTCGATTCTGAAGCGGAGGCAGGCGGCAAGGGCGCCCTCGCACCCGATCAGATTTCAGTATTTCCACCCTCATCCCGCTGGCGCGCCTTTTGTTCAAGCACCCTCTCTGCCCTTCCTCTCTTAAAGAGAGAGGCTCCGAGGACGTTCCCGCCTCTTCCACCACTACCCACCCCGAGAGAGAGAGAGAGAGAGAGAGAGAGAGAGAGAGAGAGAGGGAAGAGAGAGAGAGAGAGGAGGGGGGAACGGCCTGAAGAAACAAAAGGGTCTGGCACTCGCTGCCGTGGTTCACACGAGCACGTCTGAGGCGCCGGGAAAAGAAACGGGTGGCGGATTCCTTTCTTGCCCTTCGGTCATCTGATCTGGGACGAGCTTCACAACACACTGACCCAGATCTCAAATCTCTTAGGCCTGAAATCAAGCCACTTTCTAGTGAGCACAATGCACTGAAATCTTTGGATATGTGGCATGTTTATTCATTTAACAACTCCTAAAGATACATTTCGGTAGCGCGAGGGCAGTAGCATTGAAAGCATGACAATATGTACTGTGCGTACTGTATAGAACACCACCACAAAACGAATGCTAGGGACAGATCTACCAACACAGTGCCATAAACTGTTATGGCCGGAATTCTATTAGTGATTTATACTTGTGTTAGAAAAATCATGCAGATCTTTTTGGTAATTAATAAGGTGTTGGTTCCTAGGCAGGCCATGTATCTAGGAATACAATCAACCTCATTAACTACAAAAAATGATTTACATGGTTTTCCTACATGGAACACAATGACAATAACTGTTCTAGCAGTTATATTTTGCAT